TGGTTTACCAGAAGTCCAAGAGAACGAAAAACAGCTTAGGACCCTGTGAGTGTGATGGTGGCACTTGTATCTGGATCTTGCTTTGATTAGGTAGTCGTCCAAGTAGGGGTATACGGTGACCCCTTGCCTCCTGAGATGGGTGGTGACCTGCTGCTAACATTTTGGAAAATACTCTTGGTGCTATGGAGAGTCCGAAGACCAGGACCATATAGTGAAAGTGGTGTGGACCTAAAGTAAAATGGAGAAAATGTCTGAGAGAGAGTCAAATAGATATGTGGAAATACGTGTCCTGTAAGTTGAGAGAGGAAAACCAGTCACAAGTCTCCAGAGCTGGGATAATGGTGTTTAGGGTAACCATTCTAAATTTCTGTTTCTTTTTGTATCTGTTCAGGGATCTGAGATCTGCGATCGGTCTCCGCCTGCCAGTCTTCTTTTCCACGAGAAAATAATGGGAATAAAACCCTGTTCTGTGAAAAAGTTGTGGAACTGGCTCTATGGCATCTAATTTTAGTAGGTGGTGCACCTCTTGTTGTAATATCTCGTGAGATGGGTGCCTAAAAAAAGGGATGGGGGATGGGAAAGAAAGGAGATAGTGTATCCTGAGGAGATGGTTTGTAAAACCCATTTATCAGAGGTAATTAATTTCCACTGGTGTAGGAATGGGAGCAGATGAAAGTGAAATGGTTTGGATGCATTCTGAAGCTCTGGGGTGGGTGATTGGGTTTTCAGTCTCTCGACTGTAGTTTCAAATTTGCTTATTCTATTTGGACGGTTGGAGTTATTACTCTGGGGCTGTCGCTTCTGTTGCCTGTTGTGACCCCGCTGTTGATAAGATGTTGTCTCTGATATTGGTAAGCAGGCTGCGGGTACCTCGGTCTCTGATATGGTTGGTATGTATATTGTCTGGCTCTTGTTGCAGATGTTTGGATTCCTAGGGAATGGAGAATAGCTCTGGAATCTTCCATCGATTGAAGAACTTCATTAGTCTTCATGGAGAAGAGCTCTTCCTCTTCAAAGGGCAAGTCTTCAACTCCAGCCAGAAGTAGTTGAGTAAAGGCCAAGGAATTATACCATGAGGCTTGTCTCAGTCACTGCTGTGGCTATAGTTCTTGTGGCTGTGTCTGCTGTGTCAAGAGCAGCTTGCAGTGCTGTGCGAGCAATTGTCTGTCCCTCAGAGAATCGCTTTGAACTGTGATTTCTTGCTTTCAGGAAGATCCTCAATAAATGTGTTCAGTCTCATGTAATTGTTGTAGTCATATTTACTGAGCTACTCTCAATTGGAGCGTGTCTGAGGCATACACCTTTTTGCCAAATGAGTCTACTCTTTTATTCTCTTTCTCTGACAGGGTTGAATGATTTTACTGCTTATTTCTTTGTTGTGCTGCATCCACCACCAGGGATTTGGGTGGGGGATGTGTAAAGAGAAATTCAGATCCCCTCAGAGGAACATAGTACTGCCTTTTTACATGTGGGGGGAATCGAGGCATGTGTTTGCCATAGAGTTTTTGTGGGTTGTAGAATGGCTGGGTCAATGCACTTGCTTGGAGGATGTTAGTAAGTTCATGGGGAGTATCCTGTACTTCCTCCATGGGGATATTTAAGTGCTCTGCAACTCTTTTAAACAGATCTTGAAACGAGGAGACCACCTCTGAGGTGTTAAAGGATGGAGGTAGAAATGCTTCTTCAGTGTCAGACAGTGATCTTGTGTGGACCAAAGATTCCACCATTGACATTGGGGAATATTGGTTCTCATTCACATTCTTCCAAATATTTCTGTGAGGAGATCTGGTCAAGAGTGAGGGAGGCTTCGTGATATGTTTGGTTTTAAATGGTCTCTTTTTGTATTGCTGTGGGTGTTGATTACACATTTGCCACTGTGGGGGTTACAGCATAGGTGGCATCCACAGATAAGGAGCCCAGGGAGCCATTTGTGTTCTGAGGAGATCTGGCTGCATCTGACTGTCTGATATTGCTGACCCTTCTGAGTAAGGGGACAGCTGAGGTGAGAAGGCAGCTACTTCTACTGAGAGGGGGGGGAGGGTGAATCTGAGTCATCGGAGAGTAGCGAACGAAGGTATTTATTTTCACTCAAAATAGGAGAGTGAAGCATTGAAGAGATCTCTAAATCTTTGCTCTCCCTGTAGGTAATAAGGGGAGTGTGAGATAGAGAAGGCTGTGCTGGCTGAGAGGAGCCTGTCAGTGGTGCTGCTTCCACAGAGCTCAAAGGGAGAGCTGTTGCCCCGACAATGGAGGGGAAAGGGCGGTGCCGAAGGGCTACTCTAGCCCTTCTCTCAGTGCCGTAGTGAGAGGCTGAGGTACCAGAGGAGCTTCCCTGACAGTCAGCAGTACCGAGTTATCTGAGGCAGGCACAGAGTGGCCTGTTGCCTCTGTGAGGGCAGCGTTTGCAGCACTCCTTGGCTTATTATGCTGTCAACCCGAAGTACCTGGGTGGTCAAATGTACTCAGACGGTTCTTATCTGAATGGTCTGACTTTTTTCCCCTCAGAGTGCCTCTTTAGGGGTTGCTGAGGCAATGAGCTTGCCCTTCTCTTGGAGAGCTTAGCCTTATTTTTGTTAGATATATTGCTCTGCTCAGAGCCTGGATCAGAGGCATGTCGCTTGCCTTTATCTGAGAGGAGCATTTTGAGTCTTTGCACTTTCGCGATTTCAGTTTAGTGCAGTGGGGGCAGTCTTTCTGCAAGTGAGAGTGCCCCAGGCATTTAATGCATCTATCATGCCTGTCAGTAGGGTTGCCAGATGGTTTCAATAAAAATACTGGATACTTCACATTACATCACAATCTACATTACATCTTATTTAGAAAATACTGGACATTTATATTTTCTCAATTTGTTTCCCAAACAGAAAGCTCAAATACTGGACTGTCAGATTCAAAACTGGACACCTGCCAACCTTACCCATCAGAGGCAGGCATTGGGTCATTGCAGAGTGCACAGTGTTTGAAGCTGAGTGAGCCCATGCCAACGTATGGGTCTGAAGGCGGTTCGAGACCAGGGCCGGCGCCTTCTATTTCTCTTTTTTTTAAACTAACACGAACACTAATACTAACAATAACAAACAACAGTAGAACTACTAATAAAACTACAACTGTCTAATCTAAAGAATGAATTTGTGAGGAGAAGTTCAGCGAGAGCACTGCCGAGTTCCATCCGAAGCTGGGGATGGTAGAAAGGAACTGAAGGCGGGGGGCAAGGGGGCACATGCAGGTTGGTACCAGGGGAAGCCGCATCATGCATGCGTGGCCCCCCAATGCACTGCTAGAAAAAAAAAATCCGTCCAGAGCCACTGGGATGCTCAGCACCTAATGTGGAACACCCCCAGGTATGCCTCTCAAAGAAGAATTTATGTTATAGGCCCTCAACTTAATACAAGCCCCTGCCCTGCCTGAGCTCTCTTTCAACATTTGCTCAGTTATAGCAATTTTGAGGACTGTACTTGATTTGGTGATTGTCTTTTTTCTGTTTTGTTTTATGAGAAGCAATCCCATTCCAGGCACATACCATTGTCCTAGCACAACATTAACTTTTACGTTGCTTTAAGTTATGGTAAGATGAAGATGTATGCTGAATTTGGTGGCCCTAGCTCTTACTGTTTAAGAGCTCTTGAACTGACAGACAGACTCTCTCCTAATGATCTACTATATATTTGAAAGGAATAGATAATAAGACAGAAAATATTATATTGTCTCCATATAAAGTCACGGTATGCCCACATCTTAAATACTGCCTGCAGATCTGATCTTCCCATCTAAACTAAGAAAGATGTATTGGATTTGGAAAATCCAAGAGAAGGGCAATAAAAATTAGTGAAAAGTGACCACTTCCATATGAGAAGAGATTAAAAAGTTTGAGACTTATCAACTTGTAAAAGAAACAACTAAAAGATACATGTTAGAGGTCTAGAAAATCATATTTAAGAGCAGGTTAGACAGACATCTATCACGGATGATATAGGCTGTGCTTGGTCCTGCCAGGAAAGCATGGGACTGGGCTTGATGATCTCTCGAGCTCCCTTCCAGTTCTAGTATTCTATAATTCTATGAATGGTAGAGAAAAACTGAATAAGGAAATGTTATTTATTCTTTCACTAACATAACACAAGAAGGTCAACCAACTAAATTTATAGGGGCTAGGGAAGGGTAAGTGGAAGGAGGTGAGGGAGGAATGGGGTACACGCCCCCGATGGGGAGGACTGGGCTGGTTCTGTGGGCTTTTGGGGTGGAAGCTCTCCTGCAGCCCCCCCATTACCCGCTCATCCCAGATGGCAGCCTGCGGCAAGGGCAGCCGGTCTGATGGCCGAGTGCTGTGATGTGCCCAGTGTGGGTCCTCCGGGCCCTCCAAGCCAGGACTGCTGTGCAAGCGGGGCACCCCTGAGAACTGTCTGTCCGGGGTGGGGGTCAGGACCCTTTAAGCACAGCCCTCGGCTAGCCTGAGACAGCATCTCCCCGCTCTAAGTCCTCCTCTGATGCCCTGCCGGCACTGCTTCCGGCCATCCTTAAGCCTAGTTCAGGGTCCACTTAATGTGGACATGCTAGTTCGAATTAGCAAAACGCTAATTCGAACTAGTTTTTTAGTCTGGATCCGTTAGTTCGAACTACGTTAGTTCGAATTAACGTTGTAGTGTAGACATACCCAGAGTGAACCTAATATTTATTTAATTTTCTTTCATTTATAAAGGAATTATATACAATGCCCCTGCCACCTAATTGCTAAGTTATCTGCCAGAAAACTAGAGTTTTCAAGTGCCTTAATAGTCCCTGGAAAAAAATAACGTGTGTAAGGGTGGGAGGACAGGGTTGGTTGTGCCCCCCTCCATTTGCTGCTTGACTTGTACTGAGCACGCTCAGTAACACTGTTGAAGCTGTTGTCCTCAGTCTCCTCCACCATGACCTCACTCGGCCTCCACCATGCACAGCTTGCCCCCTCTCACCTCACCAAAATCTGAAATGGTGCCCCTGCCTGGGGACCCTATGGTTCTTACCTTGGCTTTAAGGTGAGGCATCAGAGTCCCTGTTCTGGAGACTGTGGCTGGATAAAGAAAAACGGAAATACTGAGTTCTGCAACCCCATCCCTAAAACCAGCTGAAACCATCAGCAGACTGGGAAACTTCCCCACCAGTGCAGAAAACTTGCTTTAGAGCCCCCTCTTCCCAATGTAAGAGCTTAAGTTTCACCATGTTGAATATTAATGAACAAAACCCTAGGGGGAAAAAACACAATAAGCTTAAGATCAGGAAAGGAATACTTGGAAAATGTGCAGTTACATAAAACAGACAGCCCAGGAAGTAGCTTTCTGGGGCACTGATGGAAAGAGTTAATCAATGTGAGAATAGTCAGCATGAATTCATGAAGGGAAAGTCATACCTGACCAATCTGATTAGCTTCTATGATGAGGTAACTGGCTCTGTGGATATGGGGAAGTCAGTGGATATGATATACCTTGACTTTAGCAAGGCTTTTGATACGGTCTCCCACAATATTCTCACCAGCAAGTTAAGGGAATATGGATGGGATACATGGACGGTAAGATGGATAGAAAGCTGGCTGGAAGGTCGGGCCCAGCGGGTAGTGATCAATGGCTTGATGTCAGGATGGCGGTTGGTTTCTAGCGGAGTGCACCAAGGATCGGTTCTATGACCAGTTTTGTTCAACATCTTTATTAATGAACTGACTGAGGGGATGGATTGCACCCTCAGCAAGTGTGCAGATGATACTAAGCTGGGGGGAGAGGTAGATACGCTGGAGGGCAGGGATAGGGTCCAGAGTGACTTAGACCAATTGGAGGATTGGGCCACAAGAAATCTGATGAGGTTCAACAAGGATAAATGTAGAGTCCTGCACTTGGGATGGAAGAATCCCAAGCATTGTTACAGACTGGGGACCAACTGGCTAAGTAGCAGTTTTGTAGAAAAGGACCTGGGGATTACAGTGCATGAGAAGCTGGATATGAGTCAATAGTGTGCCCTTGTAGCCAAGAAGGCTAATAGCATATTAAGTTGCATTAAGAGGAGCATTTCCAGTCAATCCAGAGATGCGATTATTCCTCTTTACTCGGCTCTGGTGAGGCCACATCTGGAGTATTATGTTCAGTTCTGGCTCCCAATTACAGGAAGGATGTGGATGCATTGGTGAGGGTCCAGCAGAGGGCAACTAAAATGATTAGGGGGCTGGAGCATATGCCCTACGAGGAAAGGGTGAGGGAGTTGGGTCTATTTAGTCTGCAGAAAAGAAGAGTGAGGGGGGATTTTATAGCAGCCTTCAAGTTCCTGAAGGGAGGTTCTAAAGAGGATGGAGAGAGGCTGTTCACAGTAGTGATGGACGGCAGAACAAGGAACAATGGACTCAAGTTGCGGTGGGAGAGGTCCAGGTTGGATATTAGGAAAAACCATTGCACCAGGAGAGTGGTGAAGTACTGGAATGGGTTACCTAGGGAAGTAGTAGAGTCTCCATCCCTAGAGGTGTTTTAGTCTCAGCTTGACAAAGCCCTGGCTGGGTTGATTTAGTTGGGATTGGTCCTGCCTAAAGCAGGGGGCTGGACTTTATGGCCTCCTAAGATCTCTTCCAGCTCTATGGTTCTATGATTCTATGAATGTACTAAATAACTAGTCATAATCTCTGAAAGAGTCAGGGATAACTGGGGAGGTCTGAGAAGACTGAAAGGTGCCCATCAATCATGCATTATCATGTGGAGAGAGGAGCATCTGATCGTAAGTTGCTTTTACAAATAACATGTTATGACAGGTCCTGGGGCTCACATGGGCATTATCCATGCAGGAGAAACATAAAGGAGTCAGTCTTTTCTTCAAACCTAACCAAGACCTCCATGTACTTGGACTCTGGGAGACAGTTCCACGAGCTGCACGATGGCATTTGAGGGGTGCTTCCATTAACATGAGTAAATATCAGGTGGTGGATTAGATTTTCTCCTCTCTTTCTGAAACCAGGGCCTCCCTGCTCACCTGACTATAGTTTGCTGATAGACTTAGTCATGGCTGCCACACTATGAGAAAGGAGCCTGCTTGCCTTGGAGCCCTGATGCTGCAGCCCCCACAAATCCTTCCTGGAACTGTAGGCCCTGGCAGAGCAGAGGTGAGAGTGTGCACTTATAGGTTTGCCATTGGAGGACTGGGATAATACTTGGCATCTGGGTAGCTGTGATCAGTGCAGTGCACAAACAATCTGTTACTCGGTTTAAGACAGACACCTTGGGCTGAAGGAACAAAGAAGGGGTTGCAAAGTAAAGGACTGTGCATAGCTCTTACAGCAGCACTTATTTAATGCATTCTAATGTGACTGATTGATTCTTGCACGTAAGCCGTAACAGGAATATTGGTGACACTCCCCACTGGGCACCCATGGCAACAAGGGGACTGACCTGTGAACAGCACGCTAAGTAGCGGGGTGACACTGTTGATGAAAAGACCCCGGATATTTGCTGGCAAGGTGTCTCTATTCTTCTCTAGGAAGCCACTTGAAGTGTACTGAACCTGGGGAGAGATGTAGTGCAAGGGAAGTTATTTTTGCCAACCCAACCCAAGGTCAGTGGAGCCCAACATGTGACACGAAGATCCACACTGGCAGTACGCAAGAGCCCACAATGGATAACAATCAATGACTCATTAAAACTTTTTTGGTATTTATATTATTTTTATTGTTATTTAAATTAAAGGAAGTTATTCACCCTGTGCAGTAACGATTGTTCTTCGAGATGCATGTCCCGTGGGTGCTCCACGACCCACCCTCCTCCCCTCTTCGGAATCTATTATTATTTGTCTTTCAGACTAAGAGGCAGGAGGAACTGGCGGGAGCCGGACCAGCGCTGCTCAAACGGCGCGAAAAGCCACGAGCCGTACTTCGCGCATGCGTGGTCCGGCAGACTACGGCTAGAAAAGATCTCCGATCTGCGGCGCCGGGACAAGCCCACGGGACACTGCTCGAAGAAGAATGTCTTTTGTGGGGGCCTAAAGAGATCCACACGGGAAGCCACCATCAGACAGCACAGGGACTCTGCTCCGTTACTGCACAGGGTGAGTAACTTCCTTTTCTTCTTCGAGCAGTGTCCCGTGGGTGCTCCACTGTAGGTGAATGTACAGCAGTAGCTCTCGAATGGAGGAGGGTTCGGAGCTATCGTGCCATAGCTGAGGATAACACCGCTGTTGCCACCGTGGAATCAGGTATTAACAAGTTCGGGATGGCGTAATGCGTGGCAAAAGTTAAGTTGGAAGACCACGTAGCAGCTCTACAGATATCTATCAAGGGGACTCCCTTGAGAAAAGCAGTGGATGTAGCGACCGCTCGAGTTGAATGAGCCCTCATGGTCGAAGGCAGTGGTTTCTTACGTAGTTCATAGCATGACCTTATGCACTGTACAATCGTAGAAGAAATGCGTTGGGCGGACAGTGGGCGACCCTTGGAATGGTCCGTCATTGATATTAATAACGCATCCGTCACTTGGAATGGTCTGTCCTCTCGATATAAAAGGCGAGAGCCCGTCTGACGTCCAGAGTGTGCAGGCGTGCATGCTCTGGTGACGAATGCGGTTTAGGATGGAATACAGGGAGGATTATCGGCTCATTGATGTGGAATCGAGAGATCACTTTGGGGCAAAAGCGTGGTAATGTTCGGAGTATTACTGCTTGGTGTGTAAAAATTGTATATGGTGGAGAAGCTGATAATGCAGCTAGTTCACTCACTCTCCTTGCGGAAGTGATGGCGAGTAAGAAAATGACCTTCATGGACAGGTTGTATAACGTACATGTCGCTAGCGGTTCAAAGGGTCTGGCCATCAAGGAATTGAGAACCAATTCGAGGTCCCAAGGATCCACTGGTTGAGTATAGTGCGGGTAAAGGTTGGACATTCCTTTCAAGAACCTTTTAGTCGTTGGATGAGAGAATACTGAACATCCGTTGATCCGCTGGTAAAAAGCTGCAATTGCAGCGACATGAACCCTGATGGAGGTACAGGTGAGGCCTGAATCCTTAAGGTGCACGAGATAGTCTAGGATACACTGTAAAGGAGAGGAGACTGGGTCCAGGTCCTTTTGTGAACACCACGATGAGAAACGTGACCATTTGGAAAGGTAAGTAGTCCGTGTAGATAGTTTTCTACTGTTCAGTAGAATGTGCTTGACAGACTGTGAGCATAGCACTTCCGATTGTTGGAACCAACTAGGGAATGGGATTGTTGGAACCCATTGCTGGAATATCGTCACAGTCACGGTCGGGTGCAGCTCCCATTCGTGATTGAGAGAGAAGTGTCTGCTGAGGGCGTCTGCCCTCACATTGTGATGGCCCGGGAGGTATTCTGCGACTAGAAAGACGTTGTGGCGATTGCACATATTCCATAGACGAACCACCTCCGCGCACAAGGAGTGGGATCTGGCACCCCCTTGCTTGTTTATATAATAAACAGTCGTTATATTGTCCGTTAGGACTCGTATGACCTGGTCGTGAATGACGGGGAGGAAGTGCTGACATGCCTTGTACACTGCCCTGAGCTCCAGGAAGTTGATATGCATCAGCGACTCGTCTGATGACCATAGGCCTTGTATTTGTTCGCGCCCGAGGTGCGCACCCCATCCGATGAGTGACGCATCCGTTGTCAATTGCATCGACGGTTGGGGGCGATGAAAGGGAACTCCCAACAGCAGATTGTTTGGTATTGTCCACCAAGCAAGTGATTTCTTGACGTGGATGGGGACTGTTATTGTCCTGTGGACGTCGCGTACGTTGGGGGGGCAAATTCGAGCCATCCAATGTTGAATGCATCGCAAATGTAACCTTGCGTGTTTCACTACATACGTTGTGGAGGCCATGTGACCCATGAGCTGCAGGCACCATAGTATGGGAACCTTTGGACTGATGAGTAATATCTGAATCAAGTCTTGCATCGTGGAGAACCTTTCCATCGGTAATGATGCGCGTTTGGTCGTAGAGTCTAGACAGGCGCCTATGAATTGTATTGTTTGGCGTGGTTCCAGTGATGATTTTGGAACGTTGAGAAGGAGGCCCAGTTCGTGAAAGAGCCTGTGTGTTGTCTGAGTGGCACTGATCGACTCCTGCAATGATTGGGCTCTTATTAGGCAATCATCGAGGTATGGAAAAATCATTATGTGTAGGCGACGTAAGTATGCGGTCACCACGGCCAGGGTCTTGGAGAAACCCCGCGGAGCCGACGAGAGACCGAACGGCAGGACCTTGTACTGGAAATGGTCTGTACCGATTTGAAAGCGTAGAAATTGTCTGTGCGCTGGGTGGATCGCAGTGTGAAAGTGTGACGTAGTGGGGGTACTTGCTGGGCTGTGGTGACCCCTGCTGTCTGGAGCAAGACCCAGCAGGGAGAACCTCACTAGGCAGAGGTAATGCCAAACTTGTTGAACCAGTGGCCAGACACCCCCCATGGAGAGGAACAAAGGAAGGTGGAATGCTGCCCTGGCTGGGGGGCAGGGCTTGGAGAGGGTTAATTAGTTCCTATCTGGAAGGCAGGGAATAAGGAGCTGAGGAGGGGGCTGGGACTCCCCTATCTCAAGGGGGGGCACTGAGGCCTCTTAGCCCCAGTTCCTGTAACCAGATTACATCTGTGCTGCGGTGTGCTGGAGGAGCAATAAACCACCCTCAATTCCGCTGGCTGGTGCAGTCTGTTTGTGCCATTTCGGGGTGCAGGAGACGGGGAACCCCCAACGCGCCGTCACAGAAAGTATGCGTCCTGAAGATTGAGGGATGTGAACCAATCCCCATTCTGAAGTGCTGGGATGATTGTAGTTAAGGTAACCATTCGAAAGCGTTGTTTTCGCAGGAAACGGTTGAGGTCGTGGAGATCTAGTATCGGTCTCCATCCCCCTGATTTCTTTTCCGTTACGAAGTAGCGGGAGTAGAACCCTCTGCCCTTGAATTCGTCTGGAACATACTCTATTGCTCCGACAGTAAGAAGACGGGCGACCTCCTGTCTGAGCAACATCTCGTGAGATGGGTCCCTGAAAAGGGACGGGGCAGGGGGGGATGGATGAGGTAGCGATAACTTTGAAAACTCTATATAAGAACTATATACAATAACGTATAGAATCTCTCTGTCTCTGTAGAAACAGTAATCGCCAGAGAGACGTTATTCCGTCCGCGGCCGAGGACGGTCAGGAAGAACTGGCGGGAGCCGGACCAGCGCTGCTCAAACGGCGCGAAAAGCCACGAGCCGTACTTCGCGCATGCGTGGTCCGGCAGACTACGGCTAGAAAGATCTCCGATCTGCGGCACCGGGACAAGCCAACACCTACAGTGGAGCACCCACGGGACACTGCTCGAAGAAGAACAAGAAGTTTTTAAAATGAATTCGTTTAGAATGAAACCTGAATTTAATGCAAAATACGTTAAGGCCTAAACTTATTATAATGTAATTATCAAGTTGAAAGATGTGATAAGAGAAGTTTATATATCCAAAACATTCCAGGTTGCTTTCTTTAGTGCAAAAACATGTCATGTATTTGGTATTTAAATTCCAATTCCCATACTGATGCAGCTTGAGGTAAATCACGAGCAAAAAGTAAATTATCTAATTCATAAGCAACATCTCATTCATTATTTCCTAACACACTAAAATGTACGATTAATAAAGATCTGAAAATAGTAAGCAACATAATTGCTTAAATAGTTTAACCACTTAGGTAGCAAAAAGATGTCACATTTTTTTCTATAGGTGAGGGGAATCATGTTTTTTTTTAAATCCAAATGGTGTCACCAGCACAAAAACCTATGAGATACGCTAAGATAAAGGCTTTCCTCTAGGTGATTTAAATAATGATTTAAAATTGCTAATCTAAATCAATTCATTCCACAAAAATCCAAGCACTAGGGATGTTAACTATTGTGTATTTGTGCAAATGTGTAATTGCTGGACATTTTAGCAGTTACACATTTAACATGCAGGAAGAGAGGGGGGAAGAGGAGGCAGGAGCCAGTGCTTGTGGGGAGCACTAGCTCCCACCTGTCCCCCGCCACTGCCTCTGCTAAAGCACAAGCACCATTTTGCATTTACATTTGTATGAATTTTGTATCCTCTTCCCATGGATGCATGTTGAGTAACCCACATGAATGAAATATAAATAATAATACCCAGACACTACAATGATGGTCGGGGTGTCTGGCAGCATAAACCAAAGATATTAATTTTTTTGCTTTGCCTTCTTCTCATTTTACTCCATTTTCTTTCTGTCTGCGACTTCGTTTTTCATCCCCATTCTTATTTCTGTTCTCTCCCTCTTGTTCTTTTAGGTTGTTTCTCTCTCTACTATGCTCTCTTCCCTCTGTTCGCCCATTCCCCTCATTTCCAGCTTTCAACTTCACATGCTCTCTTCTGCTTTAATTAGATGTTAAGTGTTTTAATAATAAAAACAATGAGGAGTCTTCTGATACCTTAAAGACTAACACATTTGTTAGGGTATTAGCTTTTGTGGCTGCAGCTCACTTCGTCAGATTACTGGTATGAAGTGAAAGCTTAATGAATCTGACAAAGTGAGCTGCAGCCCACAAAAGCTTATGCCCTAATAAATTTGTTAGCCTTTAAGGTGTCACCGGACTCCATGTTTTTACTGAAACAAACTCAGTTACCTCTCAAAGTATTTTAATAATGAATGTAGTAGAGGCAACGCTCTGTAAAAATACTGAATCAAAGTGCTATATCACAGAACATTAGTAGCCTGAACTGTCTCTTCACTTCTTACACACATATTTCCCCAGGATCGACAATCTTGGTCATAATGTATTCTTACTGCTCATTTATATGGAAGTGAATTTTGTATCTATCCTAAATTAGGTTCCTCAATGTATATTTAAGCATTGAAATAAGTGGTTCAATTTTCAAAATGCTAAGCACCTAGCTGTTCCCATTGGGCTAGTTAATGTTTGCAAATACATCAGTGATTCTGGTATTCTGGGCTTCTGGACATATAACCTCAGCAGGGAATCAGCAAAGCACTACCCTAAGACATGAGCTCATATACAGCAAATTTATAAATATCTGAACTAATTGGGATCAGGTAAAGATCAGATAATCAAAAATTGAGATAATCCAGAAAATGGGCGAAGAGCTTTCTAGCCGCTATTTTAAGATGTGGAGATGCTTTTCAACTGACTCCTCCAGAAAATCATTAACACACACACACCCCTTCTTTATTTTCAGTGTACACAAACCGTTACTTCTAGTAAAGAGTACCAGTGCAAAATGATTTTAAGTTACAACAACAGCAACATTGTGCTATTTTGGAGTTGCTTGAGTTTATCATTTCTGGATTTAAAAATAGATACTGTACTCTCTACTAGAAGTAACATTTCACGTACGCTGTAACTAAAAAAGGGGGGGCACTATGTTTTAATACTATACAACCATCTGATGTGTATGCTAGTTTTTTTGGTTAATATAGAGAGCTGGATAATAGAGGGTTAGATAAATGGGGTTCTATTGTACCATGGTGATAGGTATATCACAAATTCCATAGTTTAATCCAGGGGAAGCCCCACCTTGCTCAGGGACTACATGCCCTCCCACAGGTTCATAGATTTTAATGCTCTAAGGTCTGACTTGTGTAGCACAGGACAGGGAAATTCCTCAAAATAATTCCTAGAGCAGAACTTGTAAAAAAACAACCACTCTTGATTTTAAAATTGTCAGTGATGGAGAAGCCACCATAACCCCTAATAAACTGTTATAAAGATTAATTACTCTCACTGTTAAAAATTCATGGTTCATTTCTGGTCTGAATTTGTCTCCTATCAGCTTCCAGATACAGTCATGATAGACCTTTCTCTGCTAAACTGAAGATCTCATTATTAAATACTAGCCAATTAGCCCATCATAAGATGGGATATTCAGGTCTTCGCTCCTGAGCACTCTCTCTCTCTCTCTCCCCTCCCCTCCTACTGCCTCCCCTCCTCTCTCTCAGCTCTCCTCCGCCTCCTGCCTCTCTCTCTGTCTCTTTCTTTCTCTTCTCCCCCTCCTGCCTCTCACTCTCCCTTTCTCTTCTCCTCCTCCTGCCTCTCTCTCCCCTCCATCTCTCCCTGCGCCCCTTCCCCTTCCCTCCCACTGGGGCCCTGGCTGGAGTGCTGCCTGCTCAGCCGGGCTGCTGCGAGGGAGGGGGGCGGGGTGGTGATGTACACGGCCAGGGGGCGAGGCCGTGTACGTCACTGCCCTCCTTTTCCCTCCCACCCTGGGGGAGCCCAAACAGGCCCTTGCGCTGCTGGCTCCCCCGGCAGCCTGACTGAGGGGTGCAGCACTCAGCTGAGTGCCACAGCGGAAGGAGAAGGGGGGGCGCTGATGTACACAGCCCTGCCCCCTGGTCATGTACGTCACCACCCCGCCCCCCTTCATCTCCCACCATGGTGCTCGGCTGACTTCTGCACCGCTTAGCCGGGCCGTTGCGGGGGAGCAAGCAGAGCAAGCAGCTGTTTGGGCTCCTCCGCGGCAGCACGGCTGAATGGCACAGAAGTCAGCTGAGCGCCACGGTGAAAGGCGAAGGGGGCCGCGAAGGGGGGTGGGGTGGTGACATATTGTCATTCCATGGCATGCTGGCTGTTTTCCCCAATAAAGGTATATTTACTATTAATGAATTGAAGTCATTCTTCTGTGCCACAATGGCAATCAATTCCCCATTATCATGGTCATTATTGCTCTTTACCCCAGTGCTGGATTTTGTGTACACAACCCTTATAGAATATACTAGAAAAAGTTTATTCTGTAGGCCTGCTGCTGCTTTCAGTTACACGAGCAAGTCCCCAGAAGTTAAACTTGTGACAGATTTATGGTGATGAATGAGAACAGAATCTAGTCCTACAGAATTTTCAGATTTCTTTTCAACAGGTAATATTCAGCCTCCAATCTCCCCCCCCCAGCTCTGCTTTCCACCCCCCTTCTGGCCAGCCCCGCCCCCTTCCCCTCCCTGCATGGTGCCCGCCCTCCTTCCCCTCCCTTCATGGTGCACTGCAGCGCTCCCGCGGGGCCCTGCTGAGCATCAGAGTATGACCATCAGAGAATGGCCATCAGAGCACCTGTGCTTTTTCCGTCTGGAGCGTCCACACTTGCCTTCTTGCACAATAGCTGTAGTACAAAAAGGAGTTATGCCTCAGAAAAAGAGGTTTGCCTACGGCGGAAAAAGCCTTCTGTTCTGCCATTTAACTGCCCATTTAATTGTGTAAGAGCTCATTTGAGGTGTGGACACTGCAGATTTTTGTGCAAAAACCTTGTAATATAGACATAGCCTTCGACTCCCAAATCTGTTTCAGAGTCACTGCTTCCCTGTATTCAGGATGGGGACTTCAAATATATCCTGTATTTTTTGTTTCTATATTTATACATTTACCTTTAGCTAAATTAAAACTCATAGCGTTTACCTACCACCAGTTTAGTAAGTGACCAATATCATTTTGAACCCGTGACTTGTCCTCTTCATCATTAACTACTGCCTCAATTTTTGGTTAATCTTAAGACTTTATCAGCAATGATGTTATGTTTCTTCCAGGTCATTGATAATAATGTTAAATAGAATACCTCCTAGGGAGCCCCACCTTGCCCAAGAAGCACATCTCTTCTACCTATACCCACACAGCCCCTGAAACATACCCTCTTTTTCATGTACATTAGGCAAAATGCCACTCTGTACCCTCAACAGTACTTACCTTCCCTGCATAGTGAATGATGCTGAACCCTAGCACAGGGCCTCTACATGGCTGGAAGTGTGAATTCCCCTTGAAGGTGCTGTTCAATTTATCCACAAAGGTTTTATCAGTTGCCTGTAACACAAGAGATTTTAGCATAGTAAAACCCTACAAAATGAGAAATTAATAGTTAATATTTATACAGCATCCCCATTCCCACCAAAACACTGGGCAGGAATCTATAACTGACTGGAAATACATTCCAATACAATATAAATACAGTAAAAGCTTCTCTAATAGTTGAGACAGAGATTAAGAGAATTCTTGTCTATGCAGTGACTCCCCACAACCAACTGCTACTTAGCCTCTCTGCAAACTCCGAAACTGTAAATCCGCCACTAGCTTCCCAGACTGACATCCACCCACATTTGAACCAAGGGATGAAGCTGATTCTCCATCAACTGAAGTCTTTACATCAAGAATGTGTGCGTTTCTTCCTAAAACGTCCATTTAATCTCAGTCACAGATTATTAGGTGAAATTCTGTGGCCTGTATTATGCAGCAGGTCCCTTCACTTTGTCTGTTATGTATTGCACAGAGATGACTCCATATCACAGGCACAGCTGCAGCATTCCAAAGTGGTACTATATGATCTATGGCAGCCCAAAAGCAGAGGGGCTGCAGAAGTCTGGTGGAAGGCAAGTACATGGGGAGTTGGGTATGTGGGTTTATGTTCCCCGAGTAGGCTGCCAGAGACTGTGGCTCAGCCATTAGGACACTTGAAACCCATCTGGACTCAGCCTGGAGGGAAACCTGATTAGAACACCTGTCACCAGTTAAGGCTTATGAACAGGGCTCAACAAACTGCAGCAAGAGCTACTTGCCAGGCCCGTGCCGTGCGTGCGCTAGATGGCACTGCGCACGCGTGCAGTGCCAGTGAATGGGGCGCACGGAGTGACTGGCTGAAATCTACTCATCACGGGAGAGGAGAAACAGCGGTTTGTCGAGCCCTGCTTATGGGCACACAATAAAAACCTTCCCTCAGGCAAGGCAGAGGGAAGGAGAAAAGGGACGGACCAGAGGAGAAACGAAGCGGAAGACAAACCCTGAAGGCAGCAAGCTAATAGGGCCTGTTCCAAGATGCCAGGGAGCAGGTACCCAGGGAGTGGCTGGGGAAGTGGGCCAGGGAGGGGCTGCTATTCACTGAGGCAAGGGCCAGGTCTCACAGCCCCACTTGGGGCTACCGCATGCGGCCCTGGTCCTCTTGCTTCAAGAGATCCTCGTGAGATGGGTCCCTGAAGAGAGATGGGGTTGGTGGGGTGGGAGGAAGGAGGGAAACAAACAGAATCGTAAGTCCCGATTTCACGATTTCTAGGATCCATCAGTCCATTGTTATCTTGGCCCATTGGTGATAGAAGGGCTGGAACCGATGGTAAAACAAATGTGGGTCCTGGTACTTTGCCTCTACAACGTGTTTTGAATGCATGCCCTCGACCGATGAGTCAAACCTGCTGTTTTGACACAGGTTGGTTAGTTGCGCAGGATGGCTGAGCGTGTCTGCATTGTACCGCTGCTTCGGTTGAGGTTGGTCATAAGGGCGGTGTTATTGCCTCTGGTACTGAAAATCATACCTCCTCTGATATGGGTAGTATCTCCTCCTCTTATACGGGGGAGTATACATACCCAGGGTACGTAATGTCGTACAAGAGTGTCACAGGGCACACATTGCCCCCCCCCCCTTCCCTGGGAGGCGAGTCACCCCTCCCCCGATTATAGCCCGCGTTGGCGGGGTGAGGGATCCGGGCCCACCCTCTCTCCAGACCCCGACCCAGGGCCCTAACGCCAGGAGGGAACCTCCTGACGGTAACAGGCGGGGGTTTACCCCAAAACACGCCCGTTCCCGGGTTCCACGGCCCGCCCTGGGTCTTGTTCACCCCGCCGCGCCGTTATCAGCCGACCTCTCGGGTCTTCCTTGCCCCCTCCTCACCTCTCGTGGCGCCTTCCCCCACACCTTCCCCTTCGTCTGCCGCAGGGTCCTTTTTATCTGGCCGCTCGCCGGCACCGCTGGACACCCTCACTTCCGGGTGCCCCTCCCTGCTCCGCTCGGGCGCGCCTCTGACGTCTGCGCTTCCCTCTGGCGCGTCTTGCAGATGTGTTCATGCTCTAGCTCCGGGGTCCGGAGCGGCTGCGGCCGCATTATCAGCCGCGGCTCGCAGCATTTGCAAGTGGCGGGGTTGCTTCACCCCGTCACAGAGGGTCTTTGCCCAAGACCTCGTCAGTTTCTCTGAGAAAAGCTTGCACTTTTCAAAGGGGAAGTCTCCTACTTTCATCTGTAGTTCCCTAAGTAGCTGCACCTGCTGTGATTCTGCCACATGCCTGAATAGTTCCTGCAATTGCTTCAGGTCGTCCTGGGGGACATGTCTCCCAGGAATACCGCCTTATCAGGAGATGAGGATTGATCTGTCAGAGATGTTTCAGGTTCAGGTTCCTCGGATTCTGATAACTGTCCCTCCTCCTGTTCTGAGCGTTGCGGTTGTGAAGTGTGACTCTGCTCAGAAGGGGTTGGGGGTCATTGTGTTGGCTGAGGTTGCATTGAAGCATGGTGATATCTTGGCTAATGGCAGCAGCAGGGACATCGTCTATATGAATGTGATCTGTAATAGTGTCGAGATGAGTAATGTGGCCTGTGATAATAGTCATAATCGTGCTCTGATCTGGCTGGTGATGAGTGTCTCGAGGATATGAGACTACCATGATGGTGGTAGTATGTTAGATGAGGCAACTGTCTTGGTGAATGAGGCAAGCGTGAAAACATCCTCGACGGAGGAGATCGCGAGCTGTACGCAGAAGCATTCTATGTAAAGGTCCAGACTGTCAACGCATCATTACTGATCTTCAAACCATCCTGGACAATGATCCCTCGCTTTCACAGGCCTTGGGAGGTAGGCCATTCCTTGCCCACAGACAACCCGCCAACCTGAAGCATATTCTCACCAGCCACTACACACCACACCATAATAACTTGAACTCAGGAACCAATCCTTGCAATAAACCTCGGTGCCAACTCTGCCCATATATATACACCAGCAACACCATCACAGGACCTAACCAGATCAGCCATACATTCTCCTGCACATCTACTAACGTAATATATGCCATCATGTGCCAACAATGCCCCACAGCTATATACATCGGCCAAACTGGACAGGCCCTACGTAAAAGAATCAATGGACACAAATCTGATATTAGGAATGGCAACATACAAAAACCTGTAGGGGAACACTTCAATCTTCCTGGACACACAATTGCAGATCTAAAAGTAGCCATCCTGCAGCAAAAAAACTTCAGGACCAGACTTCAAAGAGAAACTGCTGAGCTACAGTTCATCTTTAAGTTTGACACAATCAACTCTGGATTAAACAAAGACTGTGAATGGCTTGCTAACTACAAAAGCAGCTTCTATTCTCTTGGAATTCACACCTCCAGATCAGCTGCTAGAAGTGAGCCTCATCCTCCTTGATTGGATCCACCTGGTCATCTCCAGCCTGATCCTGGCCTGCATATTTATTCCTGCCTCTGGAAATTTCCACTACATGCATCTGACGAAGTGGGTCTTTGCCCACGAAAGCTTATGCTCCTACACTTCAGTTAGTCTATAAGGTGCCACAGGACTCCTCATCGCTTCTGCAGATTCAGACTAACACGGCTACCCCTCTGAAACTTAATTATGGTTTATTGCTTAACTAGCAGAATTGGTACAACCTCCTGAAAGGCAAGAATGTGAGGTCAAAGATTTGAGGCTTAATCCAAAAGCTACTGGAATCAATGGAAAGTCCCATAGTCATGTTAACAGCCTTTGGAGCAATCTTTTGATGAACATAGAGCTAGAACATCCCCTCTTTCTCCCAGAACTCTCCAGATCTGAGTTTGTATACACTGATGGGGCAGCGTGGAAGGGTGCAGCCCTGAGTGCCAAACAGAGTTCTTGAACAAACAGATGGACGGAGAGCGAGACTGACTCTTTCAAATACATAATAGATATATACCACCATGAACAAAACACAACATAAAGCAGTCACATTTCATCTTACCAAATCATAAACAATCCTATTTCCTTTGGGTAGACAAAACCGATGTCAAATACAGGGGCTCCCTGAGTTTATACTCACTGAGTTTTCTCCTAATTCTTCCCTAAGGGGTGGTCTGTTCCCACAAACCACCACCAAATATTGGCTGGTGTTTCAGCCCACAAAATCTGCGACTCCCCTGAGATCTGCGTGGAACTCTGGATGCATGGGGAGTTCAGGGTTATATGTGTTAAAGCTGGATTTGCATTGTATTCTGCCCTCCTTTTGTTTAGCCTCTTGGATGACACTGCACTGACAACTACAAAGGGTTCCCTTCTTTTCTGTGGTGTAAACCCACTGGATTTTTACAGAGTAGAGGCAGAACCTATAGAAATTAATGCTGACTCATACATGCATCTGACGAAGTGGGTCTTTGCCCACGAAAGCTTATGCTCCTACACTTCAGTTAGTCTATAAGGTGCCACAGGACTCCTTGCCGCTTTTGCAGATTCAGACTAACACAGCTACCCCTCTGATATATGATAATCGATGTGTCTGAAAACTTTATTCTTTACTATAGTTTCAACTTATTTGCCTGGTGCTGATGTTAGACTTACCGGTCTGTAATTGCCAGAATCACCTCTAGAGTGCTTTTTAAATACTGGTGTCACGTTAGCCATCTTCTAGTCATTAGGTACGGAAGTTGATTTGAAGTATATGTTACAAGTCACAGATAATAGTTGCGCTCTTCAACAGGGAAGAGTGGGCAGGTCTAAGACAAACATGCTGAGCACATTCTGTCAGGAAGGACAGACAGGGAAAAAAGGGAGGAGGGGTTGCCTTGTATATTAAAAATGTACACACTTGGACTGAAGTGGAGATGAACGTAGGAGATAGCTGTGTAGAGAGTCTCTGGGTTAAGCTAAAAGGGGTAAAAAACGAGGGTGATATCATGCTAGGAGTCTACTACAGGCCACCTAGCCAGGTGGAAGAGGTGGATGAGGCCTTTTTTAAACAATTAACAAAACTATCCAAAGCCCAAGATTTGGTGGTGATGGGGGACTTCAA